TTGGCCGATTTGAAGTCTATTGGGCACCAAATGTTTAAAATAAGCCCAAAGTGAATTTATTTTGGCAAATACAACAGAACTCAGCCTGAAAGAAAGTGTGCCAAATTTTATGAAAATCAGTTGAGATATAGCTATTGGCCACATATATCTGTTTCACCCAATTTTGTATTTAAGTCCCTCAAACCCGTAAAATTTTCCCCCACAACAATGTTTTTTGTTACCAGCTTTTGGAAGCAGCATAGAAATACCCCAGCTAAACTTTACATCAAGCGGTTTAGATATGCACTCCAGATACCAGATATAAAAGCTGTAGCTCGTAAATACATCTGCCAAATTTTATCAACATCGGCTTAGTTTGTGATATACTTTCTATATACATCTTCATTCTGCTTTTGTACTATTCTTCAAAACATTTGCAGCTTGAGATATGTATCTCTTCTCAAACGTAATTTTTATACCCTACACCACAAAGTGGTCAGGGTATTATGTCTTTGTGCATTTGTTTGTAACAGGCAAAAGGAAACGAGATAGACCCATAGTTCCTTTTGATGATCTGCATAGAATCACATTCTGAGTCGATTTATGCATGTCCGTCCGTCCGTCTGTCCATGTATTTTTGTAAACAAAGTACAGTTCGCATTTATTGCCCTATCCAGATGAAATTTTGCACAAATCATTTGTTTGGCCCAAAGACGAACCCTATTGAAGATAATCGGTCAAAATTTAGATATAGCTCCCATATATATCTTTTATTGTGCACCAAACGTGTAATATCAGCCCGAATAGCATGGAATTTTGCACATACAACCAAATAAGTATGCCAAATTTGATCGAAATCGGTTCAGATATAGCTATAGCTCCCATATATATTGTTCATCCGATTTATTATTTTTTTCCTCCGCAGCCGTAATATGCACTCTGTAACAACAATATTTGGGGAAATATAGCAAATACAGCTCAGAAATACATTAGCTAAATTTTATCGAGATCGGTTCAGATTTGGATATAGCTCCCATATATAACTTCGTCCGATTTACCTTTGATTGTGCACCAAACGTCTAATATTTGTCCAAATGGGATGAAATTTGGCACTTACGACCGAATTGAGTCTAGAAGGTAGTATGTCAAATTTGGTGAAGATCGGTTCAGATATAGCTATAGCTCCCATATATACTGTTCATCCGATTTGTTATATTTGTTACCCACAGCCGTAATATGCACTCCGTAACAACGATATTTAGGAAAATATATGAAATACAGCTCAGAAATATCTTCAGATTTGGTTCAGATTTGGATATAGCTCCCATATATATCTTTATACGATTTCAAATTAATTGTGCACCAAATGGGCAATACAAGTCCGAATTTGAAAGATACAAATGCTTCGGCATATTTAGTTCGTTTTACTTTAAATTATAATTATAATCATAGGGTGTATGATTGAATTCTCCCATAAAAACTTTTGTTATGTGAAGCTCTACTAAATTAGCAAAGTGGTGTAGGGTATCATAAAGTCGGCTCCACCCGACTTTAAGACTTTCTTTACTGGTTATCATTAAAGAAAATCCAAAAACTTTTCTTAATTTCTAATAAATCATCTTTAATTTTGTCTCAAATTCATTAAGACAAACATCTAAATTCCTACACCCACCCCCCCCCCCCCCATCCCGCAACAAAACTGGTTATGTGAATATCATCTGACAATGTATTTCCTTAATACCTTAGTAATAATCAACCATTAAGAAGTTTAATGAATTATGCCCTGTTTTCGGTTGTATCTTAATATTTCCTTGAGGAATATCTAAACCATCACCGACGTATATTTTACAATTCCTGTTGTATCCGCATTACACTTAACAATTTCACAAATACATGGCTAAGTCATGTAGCCGAGTGATAAATTACTATGGCAACAATTATAGATGCAAACCACATGCGGACTTGCACAAGCACACATACTCACGCATAGAACACACACACACATGTAGTCATATACAAATACTGGTAATGGAATAAGCATTGGTCGTAAATACATATTTTAGGTGATACTTTCATAAAATGACCATAAATGTTTATCATTGTTAATGCAGGTGGCATAAAAAATGTATTGGGGTGGGTCGATGGAAAAAAATTGGAAATAATTTTCACAAAATAAAAAAAATACATAATTTAATAATTTTACAGACATGTTAGAGGGGAGTAAGTTCCATATTTCAAATTCATTTATTTTCACCCCACCCTAATACACAATTTTCCAGATAATTATATGTATATGGACATTGATATTGCCGTGAAGTCATCGTAAGCCCATGTTAAGTACTCTCCTGTTCTGCAGGTGTAGCTGTATGTATGTACCTTGCAACATTTACACAACGTCCATGGGAATAGAACACTGACAGGTAGGTTGGTCCAGTGGTTACATTTACAACTACATGGACAACTAGTTTTACCTCCTTAAAACATAAAGACATATTCATTTTAATTTCTATTCTTTGTTGATTACATCCGGATGGAAGAATAAACTCACACACACACGCAAGCAAATACATATCCTTTTGAGGCAGATATCGATGTCATTAAGTATTTTATTGTATTGCCAGAATTGAGATAGCATTTTGGATAATTATTTATGTGATTTTGAAAATCTAAAGTTTAATTATGGGCTTTTTCGGAAAGGAAACATGAAATGACTTTAATTACATTTTGAAGTTACAACAGGCTTAAGACATTTTTTCAATTCAGTTTTAAATAATTCAAAAGTTAATTTCAGAGAGGGAGAGAATTTTCAACGTGGATTTTTAAAGAATATTTTTTCAAGGACCAACAGACGTTGATTTTTAAAGAATACTTTTTTCAAGGACCAACAGACGTGGATTTTTAAAGAATACTTTTTTCAAGGACCAACAGACGTGGATATTTAAAGAATATTTCTTCAAGGACCAAGGGATAAACGTGGATTTTTAAAGAATAATTTTTCAAGGACCAACAGAAGTGGATTTTTAAAGAATAATTTTTCAAGGACCAACAGACGTGGATTTTTAAAGAATATTTTTTCAAGGACAAAGGGATAAACGTGGATTTTTAAAGAATATTTTTTCAAAGACGATATAAACTTGGATTTTTAACGAATATTTTTTCAAGGAACAATTAAACGAGGATTTTGAAAGAATATTTTTACAAGGATAAAGGGATAAACGTGGATTTTTAAAGAATATTTTTTCAAGGACGATATAAACTTGGATTTTTAACGAATATTTTTTCAAGGAACAATTAAACGAGGATTTTGAAAGAATATTTTTACAAGGATAAAGGGATAAACGTGGATTTTTAAAGAATATTTTTTCTAGGACCAACAGACGTGGATTTTTAAATAATATTTTTTCAAGGACCAACAGACGTGGATTTTTAAAGAATATTTTTTCAAGGACCAAGGGATAAACGTGGATTTTTAAAGAATATTTTTTCAAGGACCAACAGACGTGGATTTTTAAAGAATATTTTTTCAAGGACCAACAGACGTGGATTTTTAAAGAATATTTTTTCATGGACCAAGGGATAAACGTGGATTTTTAAAGAATATTTTTTCAAGGACCCATAGACCAATAAATGTGGATTTTTAAAGAATATTTTTTCAAGGACCCATATACCAATAAATGTGGATTTTTAAAGAATATTTTTTTTAAGGACCCATAGACCAATAAATGTGGATTTTTAAAGATTATTTTTTTCAAGGACCCATAGACCAATAAACGTGGATTTTTAAAGATTATTTTTTCAAGGATCCATAGACCAATAAACGTGGATTTTTAAAGAATATTTTTTCAAGGACCCATAAACCAATGAACGTGGATTTTAAAAGGATATTTTTTCAATGACCCATAGACCAATGAAAATGACTTTTAAAGAATATTTTTTCAGGTACCCATAGACCAACAGACGTGGATTTTTAAAGAATATTTTTTCAAAGACCAACAGACGTGGATTTTTAAAGAATATTTTTTCAAAGACCAACAGACGTGGATTTTTAAAGAATATTTTTTCAAAGACCAACAGACGTGGATTTTTAAAGAATATTTTTTCAAAGACCAACAGACGTGGATTTTTAAAGAATATTTTTTCAAAGACCAACAGACGTGGATTTTTAAAGAATATTTTTTCAAAGACCAACAGACGTGGATTTTTAAAGAATATTTTTTCAAAGACCAACAGACGGGGATTTTTAAAGAATATTTTTTCAAAGACCAACAGACGTGGATTTTTAAAGAATATTTTTTCAAAGACCAACAGACGTGGATTTTTAAAGAATATTTTTTCAAAGACCAACAGACGTGGATTTTTAAAGAATATTTTTTCAAAGACCAACAGACGTGGATTTTTAAAGAATATTTTTTCAAAGACCAACAGACGTGGATTTTTAAAGAATATTTTTTCAAAGACCAACAGACGTGGATTTTTAAAGAATATTTTTTCAAAGACCAACAGACGTGGATTTTTAAAGAATATTTTTTCAAAGACCAACAGACGTGGATTTTTAAAGAATATTTTTTCAATGACCTCCACAAAGAATTAAATGGATTTTAAAAGAATATTTTTTCAAAGGACTTTTAAACCAATAAACGTGGATTTTAAAGAATTTTTTTCTAAGGGCCTTTACCCCAATAAACATGGATTTTTAAAGAATATTTTTCCAAGGACCTTTAACCCAATAAACGTGCATTGCATGCATAAATAATATTTTTCCATGGACCTTTAATCCAATAAACGGGGAATTTTTAAAAAAATATTTTTCAAAGTACCTTTTCCCCAATAAACATAAATTTTTAAAGAATATTTTTCTAAGGAGCTTTAACCCAATAAACGTGAAATTTTAAAACATATTTTTCAAAGGACCTTTAATATAATAAACGTGGACTTTTAAAGAATATTTTTCCAAGGACCTTTAACCCAATAAACCTGGATTTTAAAAAAATATTTTTCAAGGACAAACAGACGAATAAATGTGATCTTTAAATTATTTAAAATTAAAAACACATTTAATTTAATACAAAAAATCCAAACATAAACAATCACAAATGAAAACATACTAATTCTACTTGCCCTTCCTTGGCATCTTCGGAGCAGTATCCTTGCAAATATTTTGGGCAATAAATTCAATGAGAGTCCTTGTAGGCCTTCCAGCCATGCCACGGCGTAAGTATTCAAAGTTTCTGCCATTGGTAGTCATTACATTTGTTGCATCCTGAAAATACAAAAACTTAAAACTTCATACACCTGCCCCCTCTCCTCCTCTTCTCACAATATGCATCCACTGGCCACAGGGTACAAATTCCCGTAGAAATGCTGCCGCTTTGCAGGGTTTACCTCCAGTGCCCACACCATAATTTTGCACATCCGATGAAGCTCCCGCCGAAATCTCGCTCGTAAAATACCACCACAAAGGCAATCGCCACACGCGATCGCCCGTGTGCATGCTGGCATGTTTTATTTGCTGCCATAAAATTTCCGAATTGGTAAAGACACCACAGGCGGCCTCACCCAATGCCTGATGCATGGCACCTGATGTGGTGCCAACGGAAATTATGGTTTTGGGACAGAAATTTTGGGCATACAACAACGTGTCGGCCAGGACGAGAACATCTTCGTGATCGGTTCCCTGGATCTTAATGTGTTTGCCGTTCATGGTCTTCACTGTGTCGCCTGGACGAAAGGCATTGCAGCCCAGGACATTTTCGCAGACTGGGATGAGACCCCGGATGTTGACCTTTGGAAATCAGATTTTCTAGAAATTATCTTCTCTTCCAAAAAAATAACGACTTACCGGCAACCTCAGATTGGCTATGGCCCGACAAGCGGCCACCACCACAGCAGCTCCCGTCACATCTCCTCTCATTTCGAAAAGTTCCTGCTTATCCTTCAAGCACAGACCACCACAATCATAAGTCAAACCTTGACCCACCAAAACAATGGGTCTCTCCTCCGATGAGGTGCCATAGTAACTCAATTCCAAAAATATTGGTGGCTCACACGAAGCCTTGCCCACCGACAGGAAGGCATTCATCATTTGACTCTCTGCCCAGCCCTCAACCTTGACCTCAACATTTACACCCGATTTACAAAGGACTTCCACAACATTTTGGGCAAATGCGGTGGGGGTTAAAATATTCGAGGGCATTTCTTGCAGTTGCCGGGCCAAATTTTGGGCGGCAGCCTTCTGTAAGCCAATACGCCATCCTTCTATGTCACACACCTCATCCTTGTGGGTATACAAATCAATGGAGGGCACTGCCAAACGCCTCTTGGCATCACGTAGCTCCTGATAGGCCCATACACCCAAAGCAGCTCCCTCCGCAGCCGATTCGGCATGACCACAATTCTCCACTTCAATGCGATCTGTATCCAGTAAAGCTAAATCCATGCATGCCTTGGCCACCGATCTCCGTATGGCCTCCTTTTGTTCATCCAGTACCTCATAGGCATTGAAGCCCAGACATTCCTTGCCCAAACCAATCATGGCCACGGCCGAATAATAGGGTATCTTTTCCGTTTCCTGGGCAAAAAGTAGGCGTGCCTCACCCACCCTGGGCATGGGACCAGACATTCGCAAAACCTCCAACAAACGTCCAGCGGTTTTTTGTACATTATAGCGCCAAGCAGCTGGTGTCAGAATTCCTGTATCATTTTTATCCTCCTCCTCGGCATAGACACCCAAGACCAGACCTCTCGATGGTGGATCGGCACATATTTCGGTGTGTTGCAGTTGTATCATTTGGTTGATGGCTTGCGAGGCATAATGACGGATTTTATGAAGACATCTCGTTGGGCCATTGGGGATACGTAGATGTGTTAAGATAGACATGTCTTAACTAAAATTGTTCAATACAAATATATGTAGATTGAAAGAGTTTTCAGATATTTTTTGGAAAATTTTAAAATTATGAAATTGAAACACAACTTGACAATTAGTATTTGAAAAACTTTTTTAGAAACTATTTTCAATGAATTTGTGATGGTGGTAAAAATGTCTTGGAAAAATAAAATAAATTTCGACCCTTGAATTCAAGGGGTATTATTTTGACGCTCGAACAAAAATAGCATTTTTTGAGAGAAAGTATGTTAAGTTTATTATAACTACGGGGAAAATTCAGTAGAATATTAAAGTAGCGAACTTTTTATACTCTCCACCATTTGGAAGAAACTTGAAAAATTTCAAGAAAAATTCCGTAGAAAAATACCGCTCTAATGAAAAACTTTATATGGGACCTATAAGAAGATGTGGACCTGCATAAGCAATTTTTATCATAGGCTGTTGTAAGGGTTCCGAACTTCAAATACGAAATTTAAAACAATTCCGGTGAATAATGTCGCAAAAATCATGAAAATACCGAAAATCAGCAGGTTCCGTTGTATGGGCGCTATACTAAAATGTGGACTTATTTAGACAATTCTCTTCTAGGACATAAAGAACTAGGGAGTAAGGTACCCACAAAGAACTCTATGTGTAGAATTTCCGACAAATTCATTGAAAAATGTGTCTAAAACTAACCACCCTTACACCAAATATCGGGGGGTACCGTTATGTGGGGGTCATCCTATATCGTGGAACAATATAGTCTATCTTCGAACTTGATCTGCCTGTGCTCAAAAGAATGATCTCTGCAAAATTTTAGCTTCATATCTTAATTCGTTTTGATCCTAGCGTGATTACAACAGTCGGACGGACGGCCAGGGCTAAATCGTCTCAGAATTTTACGCTGATCACGAAATATATACTTTATTGGGTCTAAAATTATAGTTTCGATGAGTTACAAACGGAATGTCGAAATTAATATACCCTCCATACTATGTACAGGGTGAGATGGAAAAACTGCAACCAACTATAGACTCCTCTCATTTCTAAGCCACTCATCCGACAGCTGTTAAAATGATTGTATTGTATCGTACCATCGCTCATTACCGTGATACTGGTAGCGTAGCTCGACGTAGAGGAAGTGGACAGAAGAAAACAGCAACATCAGCAGAAATGCTTCGAAAAGTAAAGAAGCGATTTGATCGAAACCCGGGGTAAGGACATTTGAATTCCAAAAAGTGTAAGAACTTACACCGCAACAGTGAGAAAATAGACTTAAAAGAGCTAAAGAGTTGCTTCGCTTGGACGAAAGTGGTGAACTTCCGAATTTGGTTTTCTCCGTCTCCGATGAGAAATCATTCGTTGTCCAGAATTTTGTAAACAAACAGAATTTATTATAATCAGCACATAAATGACCTTGTTTACTTACCAAAGAGGTCAGCTGAAAATGTGCACCTTCGGTTGGACACCAGAACTCAAGCGCTGGCCATTGTGATGGTGTGGACCGCCATAATAGCCGATGGTCGCTCTCCGCTCGTATTAATCGACCGTGGCATAAGAATAAATTCCGAATATTATCGCAAAAATATTCTGGAGGGTGTATTAAAGCGTTGGGCAAGCAAACATTTTGGCCGCAGACCTAGGACATTCCAACCGGACTCAGCACCACTGCATTTAGTACTCGCCACCCAATTTCATTTCCAGCGCACAATGGCCACCATGGACTATTGTGTCTGGAGAATTTTGGAAAGTAAGGTTGACACTAAAGTGTCGATCACCCCAAGCAAGTGCTTTGCCGGGAATGGGCCAAAGTACCGCAGAGCAACATTTGGGCAGAGTGTGACGGTTTCATTGGCCGTTTGAAGGCCATAGGTCGTACCAAAAGTGACCAATTCGAACAAATCTAAACTTATTCTAAAATTGTATGCTATTTCCGAGATTGTTTGCTTTCATTTAATAAAATATAAAAAAATGGTGTTTGACTTTTTTGCATTTTTTTATCTCACCCTGTATGAATAATTGATAGGTACAAAATTTGATACGGGCAAATGTTTCTCATCGAAACAACGGTTCGAGATCCTAGGTCTCCTTGGACCAAACCCGATTCAGGACATTTGGAATCGATCTAGAGGTGTCTGTCCGTCCATCCATTTGATGCACACGATAACTCTCGAAGGGAGTTCCCGATTTGGTTTAAAAAACTTAGATCGAGTTCGTAGATGAGCAGTATTGGTCCAATCCTACTGGTACCTATCTCAGAAAAGGTCCACGATTTCAAAGAAGATAATTTACCTAATACAACAAAAACAGATCATCCAATTTTGTTTAAACTCTTTGTATTCCAATAACCATATCAGTGCTAGGACGATATCAGTCTACTCTCTCAAGTACCTCCTGGCCGACCTTATATAGGCCTTGTTCTATGATATACTCGAAAGAAGCAATTAATTGCCAAAGTTCAGCCAATATGATGGTGGATTGTAATATGAATGCTATTTCAAATAGTTAGTAATTGGCAATACAAAACATTATATTTTCAATATCAACGCCTGGGTAAATTTTCAGAGCTCTATATTTAATTGATCGAGCTCTAGTATCAGCATATAGAATTGTTAAGTTATGTATTGACCTATTCTGCAGTCATTTGCTGGAGGTAATTATTTTTTTTTAGATTAAAAAAAGTAATTTTATATAGCCAATATTTGTTCAAAATAAATTCTTTCTGTAGTTAATCATTCATAAATATAATGGAAAATAAGAATTAAAAAAGTATCGGTCGGTTTTGCCGACAGATGTATACCCTCAGCCAATGTTCGATTATTTAAAAATATTTTAACTTCTGTTGAATGAATTTTCAAACTCTTGAATAGATTCTGCATGAGAGACATATCTTTAAATATAGCAAGTTGTAAATAATCTCTGAGTTGTTTCGCAATTTATGACAGATAAAAGTATTGAAAATGTTGTCCCTTGTAGGTGAGGCACCAGGATTCGCAGATATATAGCATTTTCACAACAGATCTTGTGTTAGCAAAAATGTTTGTATGTGTGAAATTTGAAGAGAGTTGGATTTTTCGCCTTCTTTGAGCGTTATGTTTTTAAAAATTTTGAAACCTATATGGGGCATGTAGCAAAAGAAATGGTCCGATCTATACAATATTTATAACAGATCATGTGTTGATGGAAATATTGAGATGTACCATGTCTGGAATGGATTCTGATGTTGATTTCGCTTTTCACGAACTTCATGGATATTCAAATTTTTGAGCGTTTGTGGGGGAGGTACCAGAAGGAGTGGACCGATATTGTCCATCTTAACACCAGACCTTAGGTTAATATAAATATTAGGATGAGTGAAATTTGAGAACAATCGGAGTCTTACATCACATTTTATGAGAGTTGTAATTATTCAAAATTTTGACCATATGTGGGGAAATACTTGATTGAGTGAGCCGATATTGTCCATTTTCACACCTGACCTAGCATTGACACAAATATTAGGATTTGCAATGTTGGAGCAAAATCGGATTATCCTTTCTCTTTCAGTGCAAAAAATATACTTTTTGAAAATTTCGACCTTTCGTTGGGGAAGTACCAGAAGGAGAAGACCGATATCGACTCCAAATGTTCTGAAACGGATTTGGTCCAAAGAGACCTAGGATCTAAAACCGCTATTTCGCACGTTTTGACCGTATCAAATTGTAGTCATATGGTTGAGGGTATAAAAAAGCATTGCATATGTTTTGCTTAGGCTCATAATAGATATTCCCATAAAACATTTCCAATTCATCATCCATCTCCTAGGGTGCTAGCTTTTCATTTTTTTATAACAAAACAACAAATACATCTGTTTTCAGTCGTTTTCATTCAAAAATAATTTCCAAACGAAACCATGCAATTTTGGTAAATTACATTTACCACAATTGTGATGTTGTTCTTGTTGTTATTTTTCCTGTTTGTTTCGAATAAAGGGTGCCGGTGAGGAGGGATTCCAACAACCAGCAGTGAAAATTTCATCAGACCAAATACTGAATGCTTTGTGGATTTGTGTAATACTCGTGAATTCATTTTTGTGGCTGAACACAAACGTTCATTTCATTTATTTGATGGGTTGGTTGGCTGTATTTTTTTCTCTCTGTCTGTTGCTCTCTCTCTCTCTCTGGTGGCCTTTTTGTTTTTAACCCAAAAGGAAATGCAACCAACCTCAGAGCTTTAATGAAAAGAAAGAACTCAAAAAAACAAAAAAACACAACTAAAAATTATTAAAAAAGACACACACACATACATGCTCGCAAAAAAAACTGGCTCCATACAATTGGAAACTGGCTTTATTACATTTCATAAAAATCATTTTTTTATTTGTTTGGTTTGATTTTGTTGTTACTGTATTTGTGTGTGTGTGTGGTGGTACTTTTGGTATTTTTCCCCAAAAACAAAATGTTGCCATTTTTTGTGCTGAGAGCTCATAGCTTTGCATAGATAGATGGCTACGTATGGGATGTAAGCCATAACTCTCTATTTAAGTGATGCGAATACGAATTGGCTCACATCAAAGCCAATGTGGTTGCTTTGAGTTATGAAATATTGAAATCATCTTATTTTAATTCGCAAAGCATGGGCGTTTTATTTTAATTAAACATGGATATGCCTTTGGCCTAGAAACCATAAAGAAATGAGAAGATCGAATGAAATATTTATGGAGGAGTAAATGAAAAACTAAGTCTATTCTTTTGAAAATTTAATTTATTTTCACATTTTTGGTTTGGGAATGTTGAATAAACGTTTGTAATATAGATCCATTCATTCTGGTACCTCTCCCTTAGATTTTGAAAAATTTGAAAAAAATCATATCAAAGATGTAAAAGTTTTTCCCAACATTTGAGCTTCTTATTATATCTGGCGATATAAAATGGAATTCTTTTCTTTTGGTAATTCCACGCAAAAACCAAAAATTTGTTTTTGAAATCCTCAAACCCATTTTCGGCGAGTTGGCGCTCCATATTTTTTATAAAATATCTTTTTGGCGAATTCCGGTATAGTTGTTCAAAATGGTAATTAAAGACCACCTTTATTCCTCATATATTTTTTTGTTTTGTTTTTTTTTATGAAATTAGGGTCTT